AAGGTTTAGGTTTGTAGGAATTGATAGACAAAGGGATGTTAAGGGCCTTAGCGTTGACTTGAGTAGCGATTTCTAACAGATCAGCTTCTTTAATATTCTTAGGGATGCCGGCAAGGATAGCAACATGTTCTCTGCGGTTATCGCGTTGGGATTTCGAAAAAGATGCCGGGCAGACACGTAAAGAATTACCAAGGCAAATGATCGCCCAAATGTCATTAAATTGGGTAACTGCATCCGTGGAAGAAAACTGGATATGACCATTATAATAATGTTTTCGAGGAGTAAGTTTGCACTTAATAACAGTGCCATATCTGGAAAATGCTTGACGGACTTGAGTCTCAGTTAGGAAAAGCGGGATATCAGTGACGAACAATGACTTCATCTCATCACTGAGTTTGGCATCTGCAGGGGAGTAATGCATAAAGACCAAATCAAGGAGATCGGCACGTGGGGAACTGACACAATCGGTATAATCATGCTGATCATTAAAGAAGACAAGGATCTTTTTGTTATCGCCTGATCCTTCGCAACGTGCACGAGCGCCATAAGAAGAGTAACGGGAGAGTGAACAATCTACTTCGTCACACATGGAGCGATTGGTAGTGAATTTAGCTTTGAACGCGTCAGGCGCGTCGCGTAAATATGCCGCAGCATAGTAACGAGATGGAGCGGATTTTATAGCGGCAGCATTACCATCGGGGGATGGTCGTCGTTCTGGAATATCAAAGGTGACAGCTTTGCCTTTACCACTGGTGGTAGAGGGAGCATGTATAGAAGCGTCAACAGTTTCAACAGGAGTGGTAGTATTTTGAGGAGATGTAATCACTTGGACTTTGTTGACAGGAAGACCTGAGGGAGTGGTAGAAATAAGGTTGGGAGCTGAAGCAGAAGGTGAAGTTATATCAACATTCATAGCGTCATCAGAGACAACGCGTGAACGTTTGTTGGGCGCGCCAGCGGTACTAGTGGGAGATAAAGGTCGGTCTCCAGAGGGAGTAGAAACAACAGGACGCGGTGGCGGCGGAATATCCGGGTTAATAACAGAAGGAGCTGGAGTTGTAGACATAGTTTAGAGCTCAGTAAAGAGGAAAGCAACTGTGGAAATATTAATATTTTGAACGAGCACTTAGAAATTTTCGAACGAAAATTTCAAAAATAAATTTTATTAGTATTTTCAAAAATTCAGGAAAGAGTTGCGATGATCCTCTATATTTGGTGATTATAAAGAGATGTGACTATATAAAAAATTTCTTATATTTGTATAACATAATTCCGGCCAAAAATTAACATAATTTTAGCCAGAATTATACTTAAAACTTTATTGTATCGTAACTTCGCCAATATTAATCGTAGAGAGATGATCTTACCGCCATTCGATTCGTCTTGATG